TTGGATGTCTGACCCTGATTATTCTCTATGGCGGTGTGAAGCATAATGGCCCCCAGCCTCAGTAGCAGTTTCAAAAGCGTCCATCCGCGGATGGGCTGGGGGCCGGGCCTGCCAGTGCAGCTGGCTTTCAGGGTCCCTGTTTCTGATGCGCTGAGTAGCCCCAGGCTGGGGCCCAGAATCACAACCCTGAGAGGATACAAACTGTAAAGCAAGAAAATAAGATGTTTATTACTAAATTGTAAGAAGCAAGAAAAAAAAACCCTGCAATTAGAGAATCACACATGCAACATATTGATATGATATTTTCTTACTGAAGTATAGGGAGGGTTAGACACTCTGACTGGGCGCCTATGCCCTGATCCTGTTCCCCTTTCCTCTTCTGTTCTGGCGGCTCTACTCCGGCTGGTCTGGAGGTGGTACTGCTGCTCTTCTGCTCGAGTTTGTTCTCTGCGTGCAGGCAGGTTGCAGTTCTGCGGCTCCTGGCTGATACCAGACGCTGCGGAGTTAAAGCTGTACTCTGAGTCAGATGAGTCTGAAGCTGCACCAGAGGTGGTGGTGGCCATGGTGGTGTGGTGAGGATGGACTGAGAAGTGGACTGTGTGTGGAGGGGCCTCTGGGGACGGGGTGGGTAACTGGCTACGACCATCAACTGGGGACACCTGAGAGGTTAGAAAAGAGAAAGTTGAAGAGGCAGCACCAAGACTGGAAAAAAGAATCACTTGGAAACCATTTTCCTGCAGTTGAATTTTTTGAGAACTTACCTCTGGATAGGGTCCAAAGTATGATAGTAAAACTGGAAGAAGGACCAATCCGTTCAGTACTCCAAGAACTGTTAGGATGGCCAACACTGCAAAGAAATACCTGCAATACAACACGCATACACAAAAAGAGTTTAGTGTGGAAAATATTAATTTAGCCAAATGAAACATATAAACACACTGCGTGCAAAACGTGCCTAACATTTCCTTTAGTTTTCCTCTATGAAACAATGTGAAAACATTTACTGAAATAAATAATATAAACATACAACTGGTGAAATTTCGTGATGGGGTAAAAAACCAGACATGAAGAGAAACAGTGCAGGCGAAGAAACAAAAAAAAAACCCGTGCAAACCACAGAGGTTTAGATGTTGGGAGACATGCAAGATCAACCATTACACATGCCCAAAATAATACTTATATAAAGGCGCACAGTCACTCCCCAAACACACACTTTGTATATATGTATAAAGCCCCTCACAGACATGCAATGTGGTTTTGAAGAGCAAAACAGAAATGTACCTTGTGTGTTTCTAAGTCCTGCCAAAGAGGGTTAGTCTTAAGGAAGCCACAGAGAGAAAAGAAAGGGGAAGCGTAATTAGCCAGAGCTGGTTAATTCAAAGGCACGGGAAGAAAGGCGGGAGGGTCGGTGGTGGTGGTGGGGTTACTGGGGGCAAGGGTACTCTCTCTTGGGTGTGTGGTGTATAAGCAAACATGAAGAAAACAAAGTAGTAAGGAATGTGAAAGGAGGGGGGAAAAGGGGTAAGGGAGGGTAAAAAGGGAGGTGGCGGTGGGATGAGAGGTGGGTGAGGGGGGGACACAAGAGGACAGGGGCCTCTCTCTCCTCTCTGGCTTAAAAATGAGAGAGGGAGAAGCAAACAAATGAAGTGAAGGGTATAGAATTTAAACAATTTAGTCTAGGAAGAAGAGAAGGGGAACCCTCAGAGTGCCACCCCTGGCCTCTCTCCCTCTCATTTCTTTCTCTCCCTTCTCTGCTTCACTTTCTCTCCCTTCTTTCTAGCTAAGCCCCTGTAAAATTCCTGGCCACTCCACAATCCCCTCCATCTAATTAAATCTCCAGTGTATCAGGTAAGACCCCCCAATATCCACTCTAAATCCCTCTCGTTCTTTCTCTCTCTTCTTCCAATCCAGCTCCCTTCATTAGGGAATGCTTTCCTCCTCACTTGGGTCTCCAGTGGAAGCTCTCAGGATATCAGGGACACACTGATACACCATGAGCCCCTTCGTTTGACTCTTGACCATGTTAGTGTGTGGGTGGTTGAAAGCACAGGTCCACTGGTTTGCTGTGCAGCTAGGCCTCAGACTAATATGCACATTCATAACTAATCTGTGTGCATGTGTTTATACCTAGATGTTTGTGTGTGTGCAGGAAGGAGGGCACTGTATAGAGGAATATGATCAAGAAAGGAGCACTGGTCTCTGCCTAGCCACCATGGGTGGCCTCAACTACACATCACTGGAAAACTGATTCTAGAAGTGGAACTGAAATAATTATGTCATCGGCATGGTCAGCATTTTCATGCACACCAGGAGGAGGAAAATGCCACGTCACTTTTTGACACAACTATATGCACATACATGTACACATGCACGTGTGCAGCCCACATACCAGGCTGAATGCCCTGCTGGGCTGTTTAGAGTGAAAACATTCACAGGCTGACAGAGAAAGTAAGGGAAACATTTCTTTCAGCACAAGCAGAAAAATAAGAGTTGGGCCTGTTGTTATTGCACTGTCTTGGGGCACTACTTTGTTTGCTGAAATAACAGCAGAACCTTTAAATGGAGGCCCGGGACTGAGCCAGAAACCAGAGCACATCACTGGAGGTGAGGAGAGGTCTATAGGCCTCCCTGTGCTTGTGCGTCTGTTTGTGTCTCTCTCGAGTGTGTATCTGTGTGTACTCTCACTAGCAGACATGCCATCATTAACCCCCATGATTACAAGGTCAGGGAGCAGGTTGGTGTCTGTGTGTACATATGAGGGACTATGGGTGATTGTGTGGATGCGCGTACTTGAGTACATGCCTGTGCATGAGTTTGCATGCCTGTAGGTTTCATGGACTTCATGGTGCCCTTTTCTTAAAGGAACAAGCCAAACTAATTATATGGCCACCACCAAATCTAGCTGCTAAGAGGAATGTGTGCACATTTAGCCACATGAGACTCTAACAGTCTTTAAAATTTTCACTGAGCTCAGTGGAAACATTTCATAATACTTGGGACTCAAGAATGTACAGAATCATTAAGTTTCTTCCCTTGCATGGCAGCTGGTCATAACCTTTCTGTCTGATGCTTATGAGTGTGTGCACGCATGCGCACACGCACGCGCACACGCAGCCAGTGACGCAGAGTCCTGACAGTGTGTCAGTTTTAATTTCCACTTCTCCTGTCTTTCCACAATTGCCCTCTTGCCCCCACCCTGTTACTTCTTCCCATGCTTATAACTGTCTAGTAAGGGCAGTTAAACTGGCTGAGGGAGATTACAAAAGCCAGAAGACGTTCCTGCTCTCTCTCTCTCTCTCCCACTTACTCTCTCACTTTACCTTCCGCTGCTTCTCCCTCTACTCTCTCCTTCTCCTGACCCTCAACTCTCCATCCTTCCCCTGGTTTCCCCTAATGTATGGCATGAGAGACACTAAGGGGAAGAAGCAAGGGATAAAAGAAAAGACACAAATGAAGAGGACGGTAGAGAAAGATAAAGGCCTTGCTTGTGAGGGTTGTTGGAGAACAACAGCTAAGAGGTTTACAGAGAGAGAATGGAGATGCGGGTAAAAAGAGACTGCAGGAAGGAAAAGAGGTAGAGTGGCCCTCATGCATAACTGGTGTCTCATTGTGTGACATACAGTCTAATAATGCCACCAGGAGGCCATGCAAGAGCAAACCTGTGAGCTTATATATTCACCTAAATAAATGTAGCATTTTCTCCTAAGGTTTGATTTTGTACTCACCTGACGATAAAGTCGAACTCTGAACCTGCGAGCATTAGGACGCCTAGTAAAGTGGAAAAGGCCCCATCGAGGACTGGAGCAAACATGTGCTCCAATGCCAGCACTGCCCGCTTGTGACGATCCCCTATGGCTGTTAGAAATGCCTATAAATCAAACACAGGTGAAACACATTTATGTCTTGAGGGACTAGTGACTTGATGTTAGCTGTTTATTTTGTTTGTGATTTTTGTGTCAGTGTGTGTATTTCTACCAAGGCCACATGAACGGTGAACTCCACTCCAATGCCCACAGAAGCTATAAGAATGACCACAGGGACAGCACTCAGCTTGATTCCCATCAGTCCCATGAAGCCAAACAGCTCCACAGTCATGAGAGACAGCACCAGCACCTGAAGGGAAATAAGGAGTTTCTGTTAGAATGGAAGGTGGTTGTTAAATCAATAAGAACAGTAACTTCGTAGCTTTACTCAAATACAGGACAAGACAGAATATTATTCATAGCATGTGTACTGTGTGACTTTACAGTTGACTTGGTCTTTGAAGGTACAGTACACAAGACGGATAGGGGGCGGTAATACATGGGGATGATGTGTGTGAGTAGCGCTGTCTTAGATGCGTTAGGCATTAACCATACATGTGGGTGAAATACAGCATGTATGTGTGTTGGCGTGTGTGAAAGCTTCACAGCAGAGTGAGACAGAAGCCGAGAGTAAATGCCTTTATCAGCTGACAGGTGTCAGGTTACAAGGGGCCCAAATCCTTTGAAGAGGACTGAAGTGGACGGGGGAGGAAACTGTGTGTATGTGTACGGGTGCATATACGAGTGCGCAAGCAAGGAGATGTTCATGTGAGGTATTTAGGGATACTTGTATGTGTGTGCCTGGTGCTGTTTACGCTTCATATTTAAGTGCATCTTGAGTGATCTGATCACAAGAACAGATGTACTGCGAAAACATTTGGTCCCAATCAAATACCTTTCGTGAACTAAACTTGCAACTACACGAGTATTTTAGTTTTTTAAAATCTTAGCAGATTTAACAACTCTAGATATCTTGTAACACACAAATCTGGCAAAATTTTGATATGCTGGTATTTTTTTAAGCAATACTTTTCCCACAGATAAAATGAAAATCCAGAACACTGATACAAAGCAAAATAAAATCACACTTGATCATTCCAGATGAGAATGAGACCCATTCTGATGCCAGGTGTAAATAGCAATCAATATCAAGCGGATTAAAAACTATCTGTATAAATCTAAACACAAGACACAAGGTTTAAAAGAGGCTTCTGTCTATGTGGTTCAGATGGATTTCAGGGGATGTAGTTAAGAGGGTTTGAAAGGGCTTAAGGTTGAGGGTTTGACATTGTAGGGCTGGTAGCGGTGGTCTGGACAGAGCAAATTGTTAAACTTGATGCCTCTCCATAACTTGTCTTTTGATCTTGCTAGTAAAGTCTGAGGGATGAATACGATGTCCCCTCCTCGCCTGTTTAAGGGCTCAGGTGGCCTGATCACCCACCAGAGAGAAAAACCAGACACTCTGTATATGTGCTTCTGCACGAGTTATGTACTAGTGTATTTACATGTTCATTCTGTATGTGCGCAACTATATACATATCTGTGTGTGCTCAAAATGTCTCTGTGCACTTGCCTGTGCATGTGAATGCATGCTTAAATGTATACTCTTGTGAAAGGAGGAGAGAGGACGAGTGTAGAGGTTGGAAATCAAATCAAACTTTTTATAGGTTTAGAGTAGGAGTAAGTTACTCGAGCAGCTTTCTGTCCTCTCTCCATTTATTTCAGCACTGGTGTCTGGTAGTGTTGGAATAGACTAAACAGACCGGCCCTAACAAAATAGCACAAGATAAACACTGGTGAGTGGGGCTCCAGTAACACACAGCAGCCCCTTCTCCTTTCTGATTCTAGTCTCTGAGATGCCTCCTGGACGACACCAAAACCCCCACAGGAAATAACAGGCACAAAGCAGGACCGTCAATTAAACTAACAAACCAGCAAGATGTTACCTAAAGAAGGCAACATTGAGCAAGTACATGTGTATTTCTATAAACAACTGACAGAAAATCTGCTGCAGTTTATGGATATATGCCCTAGCCATATATCCATACATATTTCTTTGGCCATTATCAATCACATTTATGTGTCTATTGTCTGTTAGTTTTCTCCAACACTCACTATGATACCGGCAGTCCACGGGTTGAGAAGGAAGAGGGCACAGACCAGAAAGGTGCAGGCAAGCACGACACTGATGGACAGCAGGAGCCAGTGGCGCAGACTAACATACTGTTCCCAGAACAAGAATGGGTAGCCGTTGGGGTAGGAGGGTAGGCCTTGTTGGCTGTAGTTGCTGCAGATAGCCCGCACGCTCTCGATGGCCTCGACAAACTGTGGCGTCTCCCGAAGCCCATTGAGGTAGAAAGGGAACTGTGCGTATTCGATGGGCTCAGCAGCTGGGACTGGGTAAAGAGACATTAAGAGGAAAAGTCAGTTTGTAGTATTAAAAACAAAAAAAAAACAAAAAGTGATAAGTCGATGTTTTTTGGCTTTAGTCACCATGTAGTTTTTTTTTTTTATTAGACCCCCTACAGCAAAAGATGATGATTTTTAGCTTTGCAGCCTTGGAGGCAGAAGCCTCACACAATTATGAAACAGACTACTGAGGAACATTAAGAAAGTGGCAACGGCAACAATGACATCTGCAGATCATATCTGTCAGTTTTAATTAACTATAATTAAGTTCTGATCACTTAGCGCATCTGCAGAAATAATTTTGGTCTATTCAGCCAAACCACCAATATCAAGGCATTCCTTTCCTAATCCAACTTGCTCCAAGAGTAGCTACATTTGTGTGTGTGTGTGTGTGTGTGTGTGTGTGTGTGTGTGTGTGTGTGTGTGTGCGTGTGTGCGCGCGTGGGGGGGGGGG